GTGACCCGTGTGACTGGGTAGGCGACAAAATTTTAGATGCGTCTAATTAACCCCCCCCCCCCCTAATTTACATAATACCCTAGCCCAGTTTGTAAATATGTATATGTTATCTTTGGGTTAAAAATATAGCTCAAAAATATTTAGGACACAACTAAAGCAAAAATAACAGCATTCAACGTAGACATAATGTACAAGTATAGTTTTTATTGTTTTTATTAATCTATTTTATCTATTATTTTTTTTATCTATTACTATGGAGTACATCATAGAATTTTATTTATTTACGCAAACTTAAAAATTGGTAGTATTGAGAGAAAGAATAACTATGTTTTATATATTAAATTGATGAGTCGGTCTCTTAATAAAGAAAAGTTATTTATTAAGATCAGTAAAATCATCAGATTGTTGAAGAGCTGTGAAAAGATCTTTTTAGATGGAAAGTAAGGCAAGTGGCGATAAACGTTTATTTTTCATGAAATCTCTACTATAAATTTAATGCATTTCAAACATGAAAAATGTCTCTCAACCCAAGTACTTGTAAATGGTGTAGTAACAAACAAAACAAACAATTTGAAAGCCTCTGGAAATATATTTCCAGGATTATTTTTCTAAATTATTTTATGCTCGAAATTATCATATCTATTGTTGCGGACCCGTGTGGACTCGACCTAACCTAACTATATGTCCCGCCCTCAGATGACCTTAACATCGCATTAAAGAATAGACACCGTAATGATTCATTCGTTCGAGAAGAATCGAGTCCCACTGGAATGGACTAGTACATACAAGAACATTCGAAAACCTTCTCTACGCACCTAACGATCTATGGACTATTCTAGAGTTCTTTACCTGTCGGTATAAAAGCCGGCGGCTGTGGCCTACAGGGGGCAGTTATAAATATACCAGTGCAGTTGACGCGCTAAAATTCAAAATAAATTCTTAGTTATAAATCGTTTGTAAATAGTTCTATAAGTCTTTTATCGTTATTGTTTTTGTTAATTAGTGTTAAATAAATAGTGTTTAAATAAATTGTGACTTTCTATCCACACGGAACCGACGAAAAACATAACACTATTATTAATACCTGCAATTTATTCATTAATTTATGCTGGTCAATAACATTTTTTCTTTGTTAAATCACTATTAAATGCGTTGGAAAAGTATCAATATAACAAGTTTGTTAAATCAGATGTTAAATGCGTTGGAAATTTTTATAGGATTCTTTAAATTTTGGATCCGCAAGAGATAAATAAAAATAATTGAGATATACGAGTACCTATCTGCAAACCTTATTTCTAAATGTATAACAATGTTATCTAATATTTCATAAAATAAAATTAGCAAAGATATTTAGACTTAGCCGCTTTTATTAACATATCGAATTGAAATAGCAAAGAGACTTTTCTGTAATATCTGTTGTATCGTCTTCTTGCACCGAATAAAATAACGCGCTTTTTTATTTCGGATTCGTTTATTTCTGTGGTGTGTTCTGAAATACAACCGGTTATATCATTTTTAATATTCTCGGACAAGCCCGAAAAAATGCTTCCAATTTGCTTAAAAGTTTTTTGAATTTTCATATAAAAGTTTTAAATGCTACATATAATGAATCATAAAATATCCCCTTAACGAAATATGATATATCTCCTTATGAAATATCCGGAATATCCCCTTAACATCTAAGCCTACCGAGCCTTCACGACTTCATGCGAAGGCGATCGGAGATTTCGCCTAAGTTCCGCCTTAATATGATACAAATCCGACTTACGTCGCGTCGCTACCGCACGATGAGTTAGACAGAGACAGAAGACTGCTGTACGTCGTGCATTGGCTCTGATAGTAGGCGATGTAGAAATCGCCGAACAAAGGCACTCCAACGGTCAAAATTATTTTGTTTTCTAACGCAGCGGCACAGTCAGCGGTCAGCGTACGACAGCGGTAGTGAATATGTTAATATACAAGACCACAAATATTAAAATAATATTGATTATTAAAACACACTTCCGTGTATTAACAGTATTTTTATGTATTGATTATAGAGAGTAAATAATGTAATGTAATAAATCGCTTAAATTCTGCCAAAATCTTAGGGTAGGCGCCGCCTACCTTGCCTAGCCTGACGAGCCGCCACTGCTGCGACATTAATTCAACTGTAATTGTAAAATATTTTACTAAGTTAAATTGTTTTTGCGGTCAGGTTTCCCGGACGCATTTCCAAATCCTGGCCGGACCGCCTCGGACACTTTAAAAATCTAGACGTATGGAAACTCTATGTAAAGAGAATCTGGGGACATACTGTATAAATAATTAAATAAAAAAAGTCCTGCAAAAAATCACTGTATTTTCAATATGATTGAAATAAAATACCTACACTATTATCGAAAATAAATCGGCTTCAGCGATGGCTATGAAATGAAGATCGCTGTCATTTTATATATAAAATTATATAGGGATTATATTTTTTAATAAAATTATATAAGGATTCTTGCCACTTAACTGCTGATATAGAAATTTTATTCTACGCTGTATTTGTCATAATGTGGATCAACCTGCTCTCACTACCGGTTTCGGAGCCCTACTCCATCATCAGGTGAGCTTGGGCAGATCCATAAAATGACAACCACAGCGCAGAGATAGTTAATTCCGACTTGTCGGAAAGTGTCGGTTAGATATTAAGTCCCGAATATTGTATATATTTTTTAACTCTATGATATATGAATCTTTAAAGCTTATGTCTGGGCAAAACAAATATGGAGTTTATGAATGATTTGTTTTCTCTATGTTGTTTTTTAACTCTAAGCCAACTTGACGCCGTACTTTTCCGATCATACAGTACTATATACTTCGTTAATATAATCATGTTCTAAGAAGGTAAATGGCAGTTAGAACTCCCCGCTTGCCGAGCGTGTTGGCGAGTATTATCTCAGCCGCCCACTATGGATACAGACGCTGTTTGCAGCCGCTCACTTTGAGTCAGACGCTGCATGCTATGGACTTCCTTAGCTTCACCTTCATCACTTCGAGACCTTACCGGCATGGGTGGCCCTACCAGTAGCTATGCTACCGCCGGCATTGCTCCCTGGATATTGAAGGTTACTGAGCCCTCCCACCACGACAAGGTGAAAGTCCTGGGAAGCATTGGAAATATCTTTGGGTAGCATTTGGAAATATGAGCGATATTTTCAAGGATAAAAAGGTGCCCATGAACCTAAAGAAAAAGGCTTACGACAGCTGCATTCTACCTGTGCTTACGTATGGCTTAGAGACTATGGCAATTACTCGAAAAACAGCAGAACAACTACGAGTAGCACAAAGAGCCATGGAAAGAATCATGTTGGGAGTCACCATTAGGGGAAAAATACGGAATACCCACATACGTCAAAAAACAAAATTAATAGATGTCGTTAAAAGAGTGGCAAGTCTGAAGTGGCAATGGATAGGACATGTGGCAAGACAGGATCCAGACCGATGGCCCCAAAAAATAATCCTATGGAGACCTAGGGGAACAACAAGAAGTGTGGGCCGACCAAAAAAGAGATGGGTCGATGACGTCAGGGCAGTGGCGGGAAGACAATGGATAAGATTGGCTAGAGATCGCGAAGCATTGAAAAACCTAGAAGAGGCCTATATCCAACACTGGATGGAACCAGGCTGAGAAAGAAGAAGAAGAATATAATCATTATCATAATTTTCAGCTTATTCAACCATTTCCAATTATGGTGTAGCCTCCCTCACATATTTATATACTCTCTTTGCAGTTGGGTCCATGGTTCATTGATGGCTATACGGGCCCAAGTTATCCCTGCTAATTTCCTAATATCATAATCCCACCTCAGGTGGGATCTCTTCCTCTAGGTCTCTTAATTCCTCGTGGGTACTCTGTTGTCTGTTTTTTGCCAGGTTACCTGCCCATTACCATTTGAGGGATTTGACTCTGTGGATGACATCTATTACCTGGGTCTTTTGTCGTATCCACTCTATTCTTTTACGGTCTCTCCTGGTTATTCCCAGCATATTTCGTTCTATTGAGCGTTGTACTATCTGCAGTTTTCTTATGATGTCCGTTTTAAGTGTCCAGGTTTCGCATGCATAGGTTCTGACTGGTAGTACACATTGGTCGAATGTTTTCTTCTTTAGTTAGAGTTAATTCTCCTGTTGATTTCTGGTAGTAGAGATCCCGAACTGTGTATTAGTTGTCCCAAATATACTATTTCCAGTGTCGTGTTATTTATTAGAATGTCTTTTCTTTCCACTAGTTCGTTGTACACTATCTACTTTAGTTTTTGCTAAATTTATTTTGAGGCCCACTTTATTGCTGGCTGTATTTAGTTCATTCATTTGTGCTTGTAGTTCTTCAGAACTATTGGCAATTAGGACTACGTTATCAGTGAATCTGGACGGTCAAGAGATTCTCCATCTATTTTTAATCCTTTGTTAGTTCAGTCCAGTTGACGGAAGATTTCTTCTAGTGTTGCTGTAAACAGCTTTGGGGATATCGCGTCTTCCTGTCGTACGCCAGTTGGGAACTATTGAGTTGTTTTATATTGTTAATATACAACTTTTTTTAATAAATAAATTGAAACATTGCATTTTTCTGTTTATATCTGGATGGTATTCGTATAATATATTGGACATCTTCGTTTTGTACAGTAGGTTTTTTTTTATTTGTATTATTTGTTTGAGGACATAACATATTTCATTTAAATGAAACATTATCTTTGTCCACTTTCTTTTTTTTATCCACTTTCAAACAAGAAATCGCATTGAGTGAATATTTTTATTAATTTTCATGTTTCATTTAATAATAGTAATAGACCTAATTAATGTACTTTTTGATACTGCTAAGTAGGTGTCTATTTTAAAATATTCGAAGCATTTTATTTTGGCTTCGAATGCAGAAGGTTTAAGAAGGCGCGCTTTGCTTGTAGGGTAGCTAAAAATAAACGGGAATATCTATGGGAATTCCTGAAGTTTGCGCTCTCTAAAAGCCGTCTCATTCGAAATTCAACTGTGGTAAATCGCAACACGCGTTTTTTAGAGTTTGTTAATTTCGTTTTGATATCGAGTGTGATTAAAGTTGTGTCGAAAATGGGGAAAAAGAAGCGACTTAATAAACTAATCTCAAAGTGGATAAAAAGGTAGTAATAATTGATGCATATATTCTGCCTTATTGTGAGCAAGGGAGTAAGAAAGTATAAGCTTGTTAGGGAAAAGCCATACTTTGTAAATGTTTATAAGCAGTAATATATAATATGTAATTAGTAATGAAAAAAGGGAATCACACAGTATTTATAGCAACAAAATATGTCTCAGTCGTATTTATAGTTTATTTTTGGCGTAGAGTCTGATCTTTTGTATTACATATTTATAAGATTTTGTTAAAGTTCTGAAATAAGGGACATCACTTTAAAATTGAATGAATTCCTACTTGTTCATGTTTAATGAGAATTTTTTAATACCTGGGCGATTTTGAACGGACACTATTTATTAAATTACTACTTACAAAATTTCGAAATAATAATAAATAAAAACTATTTATCGGGCAAATTAAAGAACTGTTTCTATGATAGGTAGGAGTAGCCATTAAAGATGGTTTTTATTGTTTTTGATTTTGACTATGAAATTTTCGTTATATCAGTGTTTTATATTTGTCAACTAACAACATAAAAAAACAAAAATCATAGAATTTCATATTGTAAATGATAAAACAAGTTTTATCATAACTGCTTTACTCAGACTGAAAATAGATCTTAATAAAAATGTTTCATGGTGAAAATATTGTTTCAAAAGAAATTAGAAATTGGGTTAAGAATGTTTTTCGCTTACCGGTAGGCGGTGCATTACTTACTATGCCAACTTTAGACATTTTCGCTTAAAACAAAATTGTATTTTAAATTTCAATCTAGAGTGCCATGGCTGTGTTAAAAACACAAATTTTTAATCAAGGATCCTGGGAAAAATAAATTTGATCGTCTAATGTTTTTAGTGTCTTCTCTTGGCCGGTTAAAAGATTCCCAAATCGTATTTTTAATCATATCTCAATTTTCTTAAATGGAACGAGGGTGGCTCATTAGCATATTTGGAAAAGCATTTAACAACTACGAATAATTTGGTACCACATACCTACTTGGTATTTCGAGTCAAATTGTTGTCGTTATGAATTGCGTGTTGTAATTTCAAATAAACCATATTCCAAAAATGTCAAAAGTTGACATATGATATGCCATTCTCTTCAGAGTGTCATTTTCTATCGAATAATGTAACAAAATACCGAGGGTGCCATTTGAAAATCAGAAGTTATAGTCATTTCCGGTGAAACAGGAAGTGACCGAAAAGAATTGAATACGTCAATCAATCCAAATTTATGTCATATACTAACGTACCAAATCTCGATTTTTTATCCGCCACTTTTGAGACGCACCCGGTATAAGTAATAGTAGCAATACCACCGTACATAAAACTCAGAGTTTTATGTACGGTGGCAATACTTACTACGCTTTTATCCCTGTAGAAAAAAAAACTTTCGTTCCCCCAATATTCATCCGTATGGCTTAAAAATAACCTCTAATGCAAAGTGTGGACGTGGCTAGTGAGCAAAAGGTACATTTAAAGTCTCCGCTTAATTTAGAATTAAACCTAAACCACACTCTGATTAAACGGTTTGTTTAGTCTCGGATCTTGGATCTCTTATGCTATTGCTCTTTTAACAAACCTTTTTTCTTTATAATCTTTTTAAATAAATTATCAAAACCTAACATATATGATTTATTTTATATATTTTAATGTTTATAAATACCGTTCATCGTCTATTTATGTACAACTGTCATGACAAAATACCGTATGATCAAAAAAAAAAAAAACGGAAACGGCGTAAGCGATGGCTATGAAATGAAGATTGCTGTCATGTGTAAAATTATATGGGGAATCTCATCGATGTTCATTTCAACCCAAATGGAGGCCGCTTTTTTTGGACCACACCGTACAATATTACACCAAACCAAACCAAAAACGGCGTCAGCGATTACTATGAAATAAAGATCGCTATCATTTTATATGTAAAATTATATGGAGAATGTCATCGATCGTCATTTACAAGCCAACTGGACGCCATTTTTTTTTTCGATCATACAGTCACAGAATATCTAGCTACGCAACAGAAGCCTCGTTACATGTATAAAATTGTAGTTAGCAAAAGGAGACAGGCTTTTAAAGCCTGTCTCCAAATCAGATATTTTGATGTGGTAGTTTCGCTACTACATAATAGAGGGCAATAAATTTAAAAGAAAACAGTTTTCTACAAACAAAATTTAAAATAATTTTTGTGCAGTGTTGCCATTATTGTAATTCATATCGTAATACTTCCTGATAAAGCCTACCTTCAAATTTGCTACATCATTTAAACATATTAAAATAGATCAGAGCTGATTTTTTCAGTTTGCCATGTTAGTTGGAATTAAATCTTATGAGCTAAATTACAATCACTTCCTGACGTTTGATTGTATAATTGAATCCTGAATTTTCATGGTAATTCGGCGACAATATAATAAAGTATTGTTCTACTATTATGATACCACTTCCTGACGTTCGATTGTGTTCATACCAAGTTCATATCGTATAATTGGGAAAAACAGCGTTAGCGATGGCTATGAAAATAATATCGCTGTCATTTTATATGTAAATTTATATGGGAAATGTCATCGATCGTCCTTTTCCATCCAACTGGACGCCGTTTTTTTCGGTATCATACGGTATTTGATATATACTATTTTTCATGACATTACAATATTATGGTACCATGAAGCATATAAAGTGATACCATAATATAGTACCATATTACGATACATGACGTTCGATTGGGCTTAAACTTGGGATACTACGTATTTTCGGTGACATTGTAATATGATGGTACTATGATGCATATAAAGTGGTACCTTAATATAGTACCATATTACGATACCATTTCCTGGCTTTCGATTGGGCTCAAACTTGGTATACTACGTATCTAACTAATATATTATTAATTGTACCTGTGTCACTTTTTAAAATCTACCTAGGTCTATATAAATAACGTGGCAAACGGAAGAAATTTGTTATTATAGTATTTTTTTAGTCAGTTAACATTTTTTGTACTGCATTTTAATAAATTATTAACCATTACTAACGTTCCAGCATTAATAAATATCACTATTAATCGGCCTGTATATTATTAATTTTAAAGGTAATTAAAGGTATTTTCTTAGTTAACATTATAAGGTAGTGTATATTAAAAATGTATATGTTTTGTAATAATATACTTAAAACTATTTTAATAGCCAAAGGAATAATTAATATAAGTGTACCTGATAAGAAAAGAAGAATAGAAAGAAACACATACTGCATTATACACAATAAAAGAATGGGATGCCAATTCAAGTCTTTTTGAATCTGGCAACTGTGCATATTTAGCCGAGCTACAAGGCCGTCGACGAGCCGTCGATCCAAAACCGAAAGTTCAAAATTTCTAATTATATTCTGATTATGATATTGTCGCGCCATCTATTATTCTATTTGTGCAATTTTAGCTCTTTCATTTCGAGTATTTTTCTGTTGCGTAGCTAGATATTCTGTGATACAGTACAAGTTTAGTTACTGATATTAACATAGACTTAGAATAAAATATAGACTGAGCATCTCATTCATAAATAGCTGGAAGATGCGGACAGACAACGTCTTGTTATTGTTGTGTTATTGTTTTTGGCTCTAACGAGTGCGACACGAGCGATAGATAGGCTGTCTCCGTCGTAACGGTCGTTTCCTGACGGCTCTGCCGCCCAACGCAACACTGTCTTTTTGTTTCTTCAGTGCACCTGCACTCTCCGTATCATAGGCGGGTATTTTTTTTAATTTTAATGAAGCTATAATTCAATTAAAAATATATCGTATTTAAACTTTTTTATATTATTAAGATTTAGGATAAAGAAAATAGTTTAATATAAAGCAAAGTTTAGGACTTAGAAAAAAAATACGTCTTAGAGTCTAAAAACGATAAAAATAATAAAGTACGTGTTATAGAAGAAATTTTAATAATCGAAATTATTTAATTTTTGAAATTGATGATAAATTATTAATTTAATAAAATATTAATTTTAGTCAAACATTTACAACTCTAATATTAATCAAAACAGGATCTATTCTATAGATATAATAGAACAGAAAGAGAAAAAACTTTATAATTGTTTAATTTTTTTTTCCGGTAAAAGTGATGTCTTATTATGTAAATTAGAAAAAACAGGAATCTGTTCCATTAAAGCAAGCTTTTAGGAAGTGAATAAAATGAAAACTACATTTATTTAACTCGTTACTGTCTTTATTATAGAGTAAGTATAATAATGGTAATGGTGACTATACTTTATTCAATGGAAATATGCACCAAATTCAAACAAATATAAAAGGCATGAGTATAAACAGTATTACTACAGTAATATTGAACATTGGTTCAAAAATATTACATTAATATAATACAATATTACTGTAGGTATTACTGTCAACGTGCAAGCTTGTTTGAAGCTTGATGTATTTGTATGCGCTTGGTACATCTTGGCGTTGGAAAATGTATAGAAAATTATTAAGAAAAACTAGTACGTAATGGGGGATATCTTGATATACAGAGTGGTCGGAATTGTATTCAGGAAACTTTGGCAGCATAATCTGCAAATAAAATCAGTAAAAAAAATAGTATAAATTTATGTCCTAAAATGCTTCGTTTCAGAGATACAGAGTGTAGAAATTTCATTTTTATTTCGCTTTTTTCCAAATAATTTATGAAGAATGTATTGATTAATTCGTTTCCAAATATCTTGAGAACTATACTTGTGGCGAGTGTCAACAAGAGACCTTATTAAGTAAAAAACGTTGGAAATGTAAATTTTTCTCAGTAGTTTTATATAGATACAGACAAAAAGTATTACTCTTCAAATAACTTAAAAAATATGTAGGTGGCGCCCCCTATTAGTAAAAGTCAAATTGACATCTAAATCTAATTTTTCATGTCAAAAAACTCCCAAACGCCAATTTTCGTCCAAATATTGACGTCACTTCAGAAATTATTTGGAAAAAAATCGAAATAAAAATGAAACTTCTACACCCTGTATCTCCGAAACGAAGCATTTTAAAAACTTACAAGTTCATTTTTTTAGAAAGCCAATGCAACATTTCTGAGTTTCAAATAAAGATAAAAAACAGTAAAACATATAATAATAATATGTAAATTATTTTCTTGGATACATACATATATGGCAAATAATAACAGATTGTTTTATTAAAGATTTACGTTTTGGTTAATTCTAAAACTATCTTCAGATTATATGTGATATTACTTAAGTGATATTACATTATAAAAGAAAAAATGAAAATTATACCTTATAATCGAAAAAAAACGGCGTCAGCGATGGCTATGAAATGAAGATCGCTGTCATTTTATATGTAAAATTATATGGAGTATGTATCGATGGTTTTTTCCAAGCCAACTGGACGCCGTTTTTTTCGATCATACGGTATTACAAATTAATAATAGATTAACAGTCGAGAAAAAAAAAGAAAAAACTCTAGGTAAGTACTGGATAAATTTTAAAATGGCATATTTATTTTATCTTTGTTTAATATAAAAAAAACGAAATATCTACCTGGTTTACATAACCCTGTATAATTTGTGAAATAATAATGGACAAAAATGCAAGCGGTAAGAAAAATATTTACAAAAAATATGTACTTGTTTACATTTCTGGACCATTGTTCGTCATTTTTGTTATCATAATGGTGACCCTATCATAAAAACGTAGTTATTTCTATACCTGATGTGAAACTATAGGGAAAAAGTAATGTTTGTAAAATATTTTAGTCTTGAAAAAAAATAAGGAATGTTTGGTATTTTAAAATGTTTGGTAGCTTGTAATTTTTTCGACTTTCTCGATTGTTTATAGTTTATAATAAGCCTTAAAAATTGTTGTTTCATAATGGAATATCATTCTGGAATTCCTGTATGTTATTTTAGATTCTAAGGATGGTTTTAGAATAAAAAGAAACACATTTTTCATAAAAAAAAGCATTAAATTAACCAATGCCCAAGAAAATAATGTGTCTACTTCTTATGTACTTAATAATGTATCTACTCGTTATATTAATAACGAGGTTAGTAAGAACCTTTACGTAAATGATAAATATAAAAAATACAGATTTTCCAGGGTTTATAATTTACTAAATTATTATCTAAATAAGCGCCTTTCTACAACGCCACTGACGCCAAAATAGTAAATTTGACTTACCTGTGGAATGTTGTTCCAGGACTTAAATAGTCCAATTTCTTACAAATTTGGCACTGACGAACCATGTTTTATAGTTTTTAAATAAAAAGTAATCAAAATAAACACTAAACCGACACTACACACTAAGAAAATCGAATCCAAAAAAATACAAAATCAAAACATCCAATAAAAACAATAAAATAGCCATGGAGAAACTGTGACAACAAGGTTTTTACGACACGTGCTTTACTCTACTATGGCTCTACTACGAGAGAATAAAGAATGAACAGGCGACCCGGCGATTGATGGGTGTTGCCAAATTGTAAAGAATTTGTCATTTTTAAATAGTCTCCGACTTATAATTTAGTAGTATAGGGACTATTTAATACATCTTTCTACTATTAAACACTACTTTATTAAAATACAGTTTTAATATCTCAATATATGTGTATAACAACAAAAAAAATATTAATAATATTTTAGACGTGACAACATAGGCTGGAGGCGAAAGACTCAGACGGCCGAGGTCAGCTGCACCCAGGAGTAAACATGTTTACAAAAATTAATATTGGACCGCGCTTAAATGTAAATAGTGTAGTCTATATTTTATTCTAAGTCTATGGATATTAATAAGTAAACAAAAAATAACTTCTTTAAAATAGAATTTTTGAATTAAAATTAATATAGAGACTTGTTTTATTTTGTCAATTTGATTGTTATTATAAAGTTATTTTCTTTACTGATAGTGATATACTTTATTTTTCTTACAGTGATTTGCCAGAGGATCGTTCTTCAGTCCTTTTACTCAGCGTCAGAAAGGTACCATCATCTCCAAAAGTTTCAAAAAGGCCCTTTTCACTTCCACTAGCGTTAGGGGTAGTTTCAAGCTGTTCTAAGTCATCTCAGGTATTGTTACTATCTAAAGACATTGAGTTCGAGTAACAAAAAAATGCTTACCACGACCTATACCATCAATATGGTATAGGTCGTGGTATGGTCAATTGTATGGTATATGATTATCAATAGAATTATATACCATACAATTGAGAAAAAACGGCATCAGATATGGCTTGGATATGAAGATCACTGTCATTTTGTATGTAAAATTATATCGGGATGACATCGATCATCATTTAACTAGACGTCTTTTTTTCGAAAATACGAAATTATTCTTGATCCATCTATTCAAAAATGGGTATACATATAATTTAATTGTGAAACTCTCTAAGTTACAATAATTATCCTTGCGGCTGCATTGAATGATCTCCATATTTTTGATATCTATACCGAGTGCGTCCCGAAAGTGGCTCACCCCTATAACTTTTTTATTTTTTTTTTCAGAAAAAAAACGAGATTTGGTATATTAGTATATGATATAAGTTAGGATTGATTGACGTCAATATGTCAATCAGTCCTAATCCTTTGACATATCATATGTCATTCATTGACTGTATTCAGAGTGTTTTGACTGTAATTCATTGTATTCAGAGTGTCATTTTCTATAGAATAAAGTAAAACAATATCGAGGCTGCCATATAAAAATTATAAGTTGTAACAGGAAATGACCGAAAACAGTTGAATACGTCGATCAATCCTAATTTATTTTATATACTAACATACCGAATCTCGTTTTTTTTTATCTAAAAAAGTTATAATATATAATAAATAAGTTATAGGGGTGAGCCACTTTTGATAGTTTAAATACACATTGAACATTTTTTTAAGAAGTCTTGGCTGGGAAGCAAGACATTTCTAGTGACAAGACACTTTGTCACGAGAAATCGGTTACAATCAAATCACTATGTGCTAGGTAGTACTAGAGTTATTTTAAATATTTGGCAAGGCTTACTTTTATTTTTAAATGATATGTTGATGAATCAATGTAGGTCAATAAACCTGTCTGGCGATTAGGAAACCATCGACACCTTATTCCATATTCTTTTTAGCGCTCTTTACTTACTCCCACATCAACATATTTGCAAGCCTAGTGTAATGAAATTTGATGTTTTCACTTACAGAGGCGGGTTTAGAATTTACTTTTAATTAAAGTAAACTCTGGGATTGAATGAAATGCCGTGACAGTTGGTGTAGAAATCTTAATAGATGGTTATTTTCTTTTATCTATATCTATGGTGTAGAAGTGATATTAGGGTTCGCGCATACTTGTGTTTACTAGTTGACTTTTTACAGCATCGTTATACCGTATGATAGAAAAAAAAGCGGCGTCCAGTTGGCTTTGAAATGACTATCGATGACATTTCCCATATAAATTGACAGCGATCTTCATTTCTTTTTTTTTTTTCGATCATACGGCACTTCAAAGCAATATTATATGTTAAAACTATTTTACATTCTTAGTTTCTAAAAAATTTGTTTCTTTTAGATACTATTTATACCGGCTTATGAATCGTAATTTAAAATTAGATGCAGTTTTTGTTAAATTATTTAAAATCGACTTGTACAAAATTGTTCAAATTGCACCACCCGGTATGTTAAATATAAATGTAAATAAAGTATACAACATGCATTACGACAAATTCGTGTGGAATCATAATAAAAAATAATGAGGTAGTTAAAAATACTATTTTTATATACAGAGTAACTTCAGTAGTAGGGTTTCCGCATATTGAGCAACATTATAGGAACTTCAAAAGAACTTCAGAAGTAAGAATAATAAGAGATAACATTACTATTTATTTAGAAGAGTTTGATTTCGACCGCTAGAAGGTATCAATGAATTTTCGCATGTAACAAAAAATAATTTTTTAATTATATTTTATTAACGAGTAAAAAAAAATCGGTACCGAAAGTACCGAAAGATTTTTTTATTTCGAGTCCCGGTTCTTTGACGTCTCAAAAGAACCGAGAATTCCCGGTATTTTTGGTACCGAGATTTCCCGGTTCTGAACCCTATTCAGTAGTCCGGGCAGATAGCGTTCCGACATATCTATCGAGGCATCCGGATTACTGAAGCCACTTATATTTATTACTTTAGAAAATGTAAACAACTTAAAAAATTGTCAAAAACTCGAATTTGATGAGTTTCTTTTTCCCGAATCAAGATAATCTAATATTTTAAACTTTTCGGCGATTGTAGGAGTCTTATTTGCTGTTTTTCCCCAGTACTGGCCCTGGACTAAGATAGGATGCCGATGATCCTTGTTTTATTCTATAAATGGTTTTATGCAAGGTGTTTAAATCTGGATAGAAATTATGTGAGGACTAAATAAAACGTCAAATAGTTTGAATCCTACCGGTTAGTAATGCCACTATATCTTTTTAATTCATTTCGGCTCATATCTCTTAAGGTAATACAAATACCGGGTGCGTCTCAAAAGTGGCTTACCCCTATAACTGTTTTATTTTTTCAGGTAAAAAATCGAGATTTAGTATGTTAGTATATGACGTAAATTGGAATTGATTGATCCGTTTTACCGGATATGACTACAACTTTTGATTTTTAAATGGCACCCTCGGTATTTTGTTACTTTATTCGACAGAAAATGACACTCTGAATAGAATGACATATCATATGTCAACTTTTGACATTTTCGAATATGGTTTATTTTAAATTGCAACATACGATTCAACATGGCAATTTGATTCGAAATACCAAGTGTGTGGTACCAAATTATTCGTAAAAAAATGCCTTTTCCAAATATGCTAACGAGCCACCCTCGTCCCATTTAAAAAAATTAAGATATGATTAAAAATACGATTTGGGCATCTTCTAACCGGCCAGGACAAGACACTAAAAACTTTAGACGATCAAATCTATTTTTTCAAGGCTTCTTGATTAAAAATTAATGTTTTTAACACAGCCAGGGCACCTTAGATTGAAATTTAAAATGCAATTTTGTTTTAAGCGAAAATGGCAAAAGTTGACATATTATATGTCATTATATTCAGAGTGTCATTTTCTATCAAATAAAGTAAAAAAATACCGAGGGCGCATTTAAAAATCAAAAGTTATAGTCGTTTCCGGTGAAACAGAAAGTGGCCAAGAATTGAATACGTCAATCAATCCTAATTTATGTCATATACTAACATACCAAACCTCGTTTTTTTATCTGAAAAAATTAAAAAGTTTTAGGGGTAGCCACTTTTGAGACGCAACCCGTATAGTTATACAGGGTGAGTCTTAAATAAGTGCAAATATTTTCAGGGCTGGTAGATCTCGAAAAAAAATATATATTTTCTCTTTACCATTTTTCAGATAAGTCCAAAATAACCGAGTTATTTAAGTTAATAAATATATAAAAATATAGAAATAATAAATAATTAAAAATTATTTTTTTGAAAACATTTTGAGAGGCACCGGATTTTTTCTGTATTTGCATCCCTTTTATTGCCGTAACCATAGAGTAAAGCCGTAACTATTGGTAATATCAGAGATTAAGAAATTATGCCGTGGGAAAATTTGCGGTGAACAGGCAGTTCTAAAAATTTTTCGAAAAATATACAGGGAAATTTAAAAGAAAATGCACGATTTTCAACATCTTTTTTTAGCGAAAAAAAACTCATAGACGTGTTCCTGGGGTCGAAATATACCACACCTGAAAATATTTGCACTTATTTAATTTGACTTACCCTGTATATGTTTTAATTGAAAGTCTTTAGAAGCGCCTTTTGTGTAGTAATTAATAGAAATGTCATCCGGTCAACGATTTAAACGAAGTACCATTTAACTCAATTATGGAACTGCTTTTTCGCGTACCTCAATTTAAGAGCGATTATAAATTTAACCGCTATGAAGAAGTGAAAGAATTTTTCATCACAAATTATCCGCGAAGACGCAGTACTGCGGAAATGCAGATGAAATTCGAACAACGAATGTGGTTTAGTTTATTTTATTTAAAGGCAAGTGAGGCATTTGGTTTAAAGCAGTTCATTGTCGTCTGTGTGGTTTATTCGTGTCTCCATTTACGACTCTGCGACTCTAAAATAATGATTTTCTTTCGTCAAATGTAAGAACATTGAATGTAAGAAACATTCATGTTTCGTTAAAGTCAAGACGTTACACGATGTGTCGAATAGTTTCCAGTGATAGATATTTCAGATTCTGCGACATCTATTAGCGATTTATTGACAAAATACATGTGTCCAACGATCGAAAAGCGTCGGCATTCTTCATTCATTACCTGGCTACATACATACAGAAACTGTTTCAATCATAAAATTTTAGAATAATCTAAATACCCTGTTATATCATGTCTTCTGTTATAATAAATTTCATGTAAAACAGACCGCTTTTGCGTCTACACACGTTTTACTATTTTGTGCTGCAACTCGAAGTTTTCTAGTAATCGAAAAAACTTTTGCGTCTTTTGTTACCCAACCTACTTCTTCATTTTCAATGCCATCTTCATTAAGTAGTTGGAAACAAGTGTTTTAAAAGAGTTTTAAACATAATCCATACTTTGCCGTTAAAACCGTGTTTAAAACAATAAAACCTGTTTTAAACCATAAATAACACGTTTCGTTTTTAAAAATAAATAGAACATGTTTTTTTTCAACCCTCTTTTGAAGTATTTGAAATATTTTTTTTAATTTGCGTATTGAAACCCTATCTTTGTCCTCCGTAGTATTAATTGATATTTACATACTGTAACTGTATATACTGTACCAGGATACCATACTGTATATCCTATCAAATATACTATATATAATAAAAATATACTGTATAGGATACCATACTGTATATCCTATCAAAAACATAGAATGTAAAAAATGCCAAGTCTCGCACAATTCCTTCGCTATAAAAAGTTGTGAGATCTCATGTAAATCCAAGCCAGTTTATTTTATTTAGTCTCTCTTTAAGCACCTATTCAACAATTTAGTTATAAATTGGTAGCATCAATATTATAGTCATCTTTATTTCTATAATAATTATAATGACTTGGCAATTGCACGATATGATATTCTATAGTAATTAAAAAACTGTATTCTTAAGTGTACATTTTAGATTTATTTAGTAATCGAAATAGTAGATTATTCTTTTTTATAATTATGGTGCCGTGCATGCAATTGCCAAGTCATTATAATTATTATAGAAATAAAGATGACTAATATTGATGCTACCAATTTATAACTAAATTGTTGAATAGGTGCTTAAAGAGAGACTAAATAAATAAACTGACTTGGATTTACATGAGATCTCACAACTTTTTATAGCGGAGGAATTGTATTGCGAGACTTGGCATTTTTTACATTCTATGTTTTTGATCTTGATGAGCGATCTTATTTCTTTTTGTAGTCATTCAAAATAATATTAAAGAAGTTTGACTATAATTCATAAACATTGAATTATCGTATAATTAATTAAGTCAGATAATATCAATTGAATTAATTCTATTTTTCTAACGACTTGTGTTTCCGACTTTCGTTATAACTCAAATATCAACTTTAAAAATGTTCAATTCATGATTTTACTAATGCTTATTCAAAATTATGTTTTTGTCAATTTTACACATATTTTATTTTTTATCTCGAAAACTATAAGAGATATGAGAGTAGTTTCCAAAAATATAATAATATACTTCCATTTAAAATAACAAATATGCTACCACTTTTCAAATGATCTGGCAACACTGTAACGCTGATAATATTTTAGATAGATGGAGCAGGTGTTTTTGTATAAAAATCAAAATTTTTAAAACAATCCTATTACCGGTCCCCCTATTACCATCACCGGAAAGTCGGTTACCACTAGCGACTAGACAACTTTTGAGCCATAAGGATATTTCGAGATTTTTAATTTTTTCCTTCCATTATAAGCTAAGCTACCTAAAATTCAAAATTTTGTGACACATCTAGAAGTTTGTGACATATCTAGAAGTACTTTAGAATTTTGATGACTGCGAGTGAGTCACTGGCGAAATTAAAGAAGTTTGACTAGAAAAAATTCATAATCCTTGAATTATTGTTTAAGATATGTATTTAATATTTTACAATTAGAATATTAACGAAAATAAAATAAAAAAATATGCCCCGAGGCATCCTCGAACTCGGGCCACCCGGTGTACCAGCACTTTCGCGCCACGCTATCAACCCATGTTCGATATTTGTTCAAGCCTAGCATTTAACATATTAAACTAAAAAAAATAAATAGAGACTTCGTTACAAGTTAAAGTCTGACTAGAAAAAAATCATTATCCTTGAATTATTGTTGGTACATTGATATATAAATAAAATCAAAAGAGACCGCTCCGATTAATTCTAGTTTTCTACCTTTTTCTCGACTGGAAAGCCGGTACCGGTAGCGGCTAGACAGCTAACTTTTAATCCATAAGGATATTTCGAGATTTTTAATTTTTTCATTTGGTTATAAGCTTAAAGCTACCTAAAATTCTAAATTTGGAGTTTAAAACATCGAGAAGTACCTTAGATTTTGATGATCTGTCACTGAGTCAATGTCGAAATTAAAGAAATTTGACAAGCGATAATTCATAAACTATGAGGGATAATTACTAGATATTTTGGTAACCTAGCCAGCTATAGTATGTCTTCAAGTTTAGTGAAAATTAATATTCTTGCTTTATCCACAACGAAGTTACAGGGTGGTCAAAAGTGCCGCTAATACCTTCGAGAAAAGGATGGTACTGCTGTACTCGACTTGGCGCGGCCCCCAGATACATACCGTATAATCGAAAAAAACGGCGTCAGCGATAGTTATGAAATGAAAAAAAAATGAGGAGTGTCATCGTAGAATTATATGGGGAATGTCATCGATGTTCATTTCCAAGCCAACTGGACGGCGTTTTTTTAGAACATACGGTAGATATCTAATTGAACAGCATTTAAGCTACTGTTCTGTTTTTTTTCTGTCCTAATTGGTGAATTATATTTGATGTTAGGATATCGTTATTTTGTATGTTAATTTGAACATTATATTTCTCAATCCGGTAATGAAAATCTTCATCAATTAAACTTTTAGCGATATTATAAAATACATACAAAATATGCTAATATTGATGGTATTTTTTCTTATTTATTTCTAAGTTTCTACTGAATGTTAGGAAACCTTGCTTTTCTCCGAAACATCGTTCAATTATTACTCGTCCTTGGCTAAAAACGTTAAAATAATTTTGCTGCTTTTCGTTTGCAGGATTTCTCCAGGAATTCATTATCCAAGGAGATATACAGGGTGGTCAGAACTGTATTCCGGAAACTTCGGCAGCATATTCTGCAAATAAAAATAAGTAAAATAGTTCATATAAATGTATGTCCTAAAGTGCCTAGTTTCTATACAGGGTGTAGAAGTTAAAACATGTCTCTTGGTAAAAATCGCTACGAGCAACTGTTCTTAATTTACTTAGAATGGAAATCTATACTAATATATAAAATCCTTAAGTGACTGACATACTGATTAATCACGATCCTGCTGAAACCACTCAACGTAAGAAGCTCAATTTTGGCATACAGGTTAATTCTAGGATGTAGAGGTTCGATAAGAAGGGATTTTTCAAAATTCCAGTTCCAAGAGGGTGAAACCACCCCTCAAATATTACAATATTTTTTATTTAAAAAACGGTCAAGTTTCCGAAAAAACGCTTAAACACGTATAGTTTATTTTGTTTTTTTTACATATTTTATGATTTTTTAAAAATGTTCACAGGGTGTTTCGAAAAATCTGGTCATTGATTAATCACGATCCTGCTTAAAGCTCTTGACGTAAAAAGCTGATTTTTGGAAAACAGATTGACTTTAGGGTGTAGAAGTTCGATAAGAAGGGATTTTTTGAAACTCGAATTCTAAGGGGGTGAAACTATCCCTCAAATATTACAATATTTTTTATTTAAAAACCGGTGAGTTTTTCGGAAAAACTCTTAAACACGTATATTTTATTTTGTTGTTTTACATATTTTAAGATTTTTTACAAATTTATACAGGGTGTTTCATAAAATATGACCACTGAGTAATCACGATTCTGCTTAAACTGCTTGACGTTTAAAGCTGATTTTTGGCAAACGGATTGACTCTGGGGTGTAAGGTTCTCTAATTGACTCAGGTTCGATAAGGAGGGGTTTCTCGAATATCAAATTCCAAGAGGGTGAAAACGCCCCTCAAATATTACAATATTTGTTATTTAAAAAACGGTTAGTCTTTCGGGAAAACGCTTGGATAAGCATAATTTATTTGTTTTTTTTACATATTTTGAAATTTTTTAAAAAATCATACAGGGTGTTCCAAAAAGTTGGGTAATTTCTTAACCACGATTCTGCTTAAACTGATTGACGTAAAAAGCTTATTTTTGGCAAACGGATATTTCGAAAGTCAAATTCCAACGAGAAGAAACTACTCCTCAAATATTACCAAGTTATATAATAATATCGCCATATTGTTTTTCTCATGCTGACATAAATGTGAGAAAATTTTATCCAGTTTGTATGATAATGGAAATTCTTGCTTTGCTTTATCATCACCATTACAAATGATTAATTCGACGCGCACGAAGTCGCTGGTACACGCTAGTAGTCAATACATGTCATCATTGACAAAAAAAATAAACATGTTGAGTAGTAGATAGTTATTTGACTGAAATGATAAATTTGGGAACTTTTTATTTTTTTAAATTAATCCTAAATTTTTCTTCGAAAAAATGATGAACTTTTGACACAAAAACATTTCAAATTTGTGATTTCAGTCTAATAACTATTTAGTCAACATGTTTAATTTGTGTCAGTGATGTCAGGTATTTAATTATTAAGATTCCAAATATCTCGAGAACCATTACCCGTAGTGATTTTTACCAAGACACCTAAAAAAGGTGTCCTCGTAAAAAACGTCGTGAATGTATATTTTTTTACTCTGTAGTTTTATACAGGTACCGACGAAAAGTTATTACTCTTGAAGCCAGTTAAAAAATATGTAGGTGGCGCCCCCTACAATTAGGAGTCATATTGACATCAAAATCAAATTTCTCAGGTCAAAAAACTTCCAGACACAAATTTTCATCCAAATATTGACTTTACTTCAGAAATTATTTGAAAAAAATCGAAATAAAAATTAAATTTCTACGCTTACACCCTGTATCTCCGAAAGTAGGCATTGTAAGACACATCTATGCGATGCGAACTTTTTTACTTATTTTTTTCTGCAGAATATTCTGTTGAAGTTTCCGGAATACAGTTCGGACCACTCTGTAGAATAGCCATCCTAATAAAACACATTCTTCTGTGGTATTTTTAAGAAGATTCTTTATATTACAATTTTTGAAAGTTCTTCGATCGTGCACAGTGCTTTACCGTTAACAGTCTACACTTGTAAAAATTTCTTTTGCAATGCTAGTTGCCTGTACGTTAATGCTCTAATATTCTTTTCTGTTTATATGTTCATCATCAAATTCACCAAATTTTGGAATTCTGATATACGTACTATGTCGTAGTCCATGTCTTATGGCGCAAAAAGCAGTTAGAAACCGGTATTTCTCTGACCAAAACCGTTTGGTTTCCCGAAAATCCTCGACACTTCTAGTGAATCTAATCCAAATATTGACCTTCTTCAAAACTGCATACATTACAGAAGTAGATTCTTGCAGACACCGGTTCAGCAACAGATTTGAAAAGCTGAGATCAGACAATTGTCGCAGAATATATCTTGTTATGGATGATCTTTTGCCGTCCTGCATAAAAATGTAGTAAAATTTATTCATATTTTAACAGATCATTTTTGTGTTTGGTAGCATCGTAATAGGTATTGATTTTCTAAATTAAGTGCATTTTCATACTTAGCTCTAGTTTTATTATATCTTTCATTTCAGATCAGTCGGAATCCTTCCTGTGCATCCAACGGCCGTCGGCCCTCGATCACCCGTCGGGACTCCAGACGAGTCCTGGTCGCCAAAGGGGAGCGACCCCCCAGATTCAAACCGGAAGACTGCCCGGAAAAGCGGTTCGGGCGCCACCAAGCCGGAGAACAGACGCATTCCAGTAGCATCGATAACGGTAAGAGTTGCATGGGGATTATTTGTTTTATAGTAATATATTTAGGTTTACTATTGCACATTGCCAAATTAAATAAATATAATATATTAAGCTGTTAGAATAATTGAGTCGTTCTCAATAAATAAATTCAGAAAATCAAAGATATTTGTTTTTCGGAATTATGGTTAGGCACGTCGATTAGTATTTTAAATTTTAAACGTGTAGCACTTTTTTGATGCAAGGAACTTTAATGCAGCGTATACTATATTTGGGGTGTGATGCTATCGACAATATTTTTTATTTTATGGCAATCGTATTTTTAATCCGATTTTTGCTTGTACTTTTTTACTTTTTTTTGCTACCTTTAACTTTTTTAAAATCGAAAATGAATTTATTTTTTTTCTTATATCCTTCGTCACTTTTAATTGAAAATTTTGAATATGGTCAAAAAAATCGTAACAGCTGTAAAAATACAGTTCATACTAAATAAACTTTTAGTCGCGCTTGGCCGGCACAGCGTTGGTCACTTTTATATATTTTCTTTTAATCAAAATATTTTAGGAAACAAAAATAAATTAATTATAAATATATAAACAGTTATTCTTTACATCTACAAAACTCACCTTCTTAACAGCACTTAAGGGACATAAAGGGCCTTTACTACCGCTTTCCCAAAATATTCTAATAAAGTTGCGATAAGTTTTTGACGGCTATTAATCTATCTTGTACACTTAGCACTAAAAAAAAGAACAATGTTCGACTGTAAGGTCTGCTAGTAAACATTTTTAAGCTTAAATTAACACAACACTATTTGTTTAAACCAAAAACTCGTAATATAAAACTAAAGTGTCAAAACGAATGACAATATCAGGAAATAAATAAATAAATGTGGCAACTTGACATTTTTACAGCAGAGCTGCCACCTGAATCCTCAGCGGGAAATTTAAATTCCACTTGGTCAACACGGCGCCGAATATGTCCATAGTTGGTAACAATTAATTTAAAATCGCGCTCTTGATGACGTAATTAAAAGTTTGATATGCACCGTAGAACCCTTTATTAATTGTTTTATTTGCGTTTTTGTTAGTAACCATTTAATACGAGATATTCTCAATATGCTAAAAATGACATTTGCAGAGCACAAAACAGTTAACAGATCATATCATCATACCTAGCCATGATAGTCGGTATCAAAATATATACTGATTTTACTGGTTGCCATGGCAATAATAGGGCCATTAGCCCCCCATACATTAACATATAAGTTGGACCGATTAGGCTCGCCAGATACCAAAACTCTCGTCATTTTTGAGCTCGAATTTGGCTACCCGACTTTATAGTCCGATTAGATTTGCCTGATTAAATCGTGTTGTTAATGGGACAAAATTTGACGTTTTATAACAGATTTGATTTGGCTCGCGATCTTTTGGAAGTCCTGAAAGATTTAACCAGTTGTCTTAGATTTACTCGGCATATTTGTACTCAGTGAATAGTAAAAATGAATAACAATCATAGCTTGCGCCATGGCGTATGTATTTATCGCCAATAAACAAAAAGTAAAAAAAACGAAGCAAGCGGGTGAAAAAATGGATTTTTCGTAGAGATGAACTAGGTCATATGCTAAGTACAAAGTTCGAAGACTTGATACGCGTCGCAAAACAGAGCCAAATCCAAATATAATTTGACGGGTTTAAACCTGTGATTTCATCTGTGCACGGCCCGATTCGGCTCGGTTCGCCACATACACACAAAGTTTCATCCGCGTATTTGGCTCGTGCCATATCAAGTTGGTTAAGTTATCCGCTGGTGTATGGGGGGTTATTGGGATGTTAGTACGGCAAAAATATTTGGTGTTTTTTTCCTATTGTTAATCCACTTTTTGCTTGAAAACAGATGAGAACTGAATGTACATAAAAATAATAATTCAACCGTTTTCGGAAAACAAGAATAAATCATTCCTCTATTGATTTACGGAAGAGATATATTTTTAAACCAAATATTTAAATCCTTAATAGAAACACATTAATAATTATATCTTGTCAATTTTACGATATCATCGTGTTCAACAAGCGATTACTGAAAAATGAACACAACTTAAAATAGTTTACCCTACTTTATTGTAATAATAATTTAAGGTCATTATATAAATATGGGCGTTCAACGTTTTCTAATTGAAAATTTTACTGATTTGAATTAATAGCTGCGTATATCAATCAACAGACTGGATTTATTTCGACTTTCTGCTACATTAAACATTTCTGCCATAACAATTTATTAACTTTATTATAACTTTAGATCAATATAAGTTTAATCTTATTGGCAATTAAATATACACAGTTAATAACACAGTTTCTAAATATGGCATTCATTTTCTTTAGGATAATTCTTTTTTAAGCAGAGAAAGAAGTTTTAATTTAATAGGTTGCCTAATTTTATATTGAAACTCAATATAAACCAAAAATACAATAAAAGGAGAACTGTGATAGAACTATAAAATAAATATTATAAATATATTCTGAATGTATTCTATTTGTATTCTGTCTAAATTGTACTGTTCAATTTGCGAAGTTTGAAAATTTCGTCATCATTTTCGGCGCCATATTGGTTTTCACGTATTTCTTGCCTTGGTCCATGAGTTGTTTATACCTCTGGTTGTAAACTAACAATAACAAATTATTTATTGTAGCCTACCCGCAGTGTATACAATGAATAAATACGTCCTCTATTAATATGTTCATGGATCTTATTAGCAGGAATTCCAGGGGACAATCGAATATTGTGACTTGTTTTGCTGCTTTTTGTTCTTTATCTTTCACGATTCCTCGGGAACTTATTCTTTGCACAGTCGAGCATGAAATTCCTAAAGCCTCCGGTGCTCTCTATAAAACACGTTAATATTTTCGATTCAGTTACAAAATATTAACTCGGTAGTTGTCCAATTACACCGTAAACAGCCTACACAGGTAAAAGGGTTTTTTCCACCATCTTTTTCGAGTTTCAGATACTCGATAACTTTTAATATGAGCCGTTGTTCTTTTTCACTAAAACGGGACGGCATTTTAAACACAAATCAAATCACAAATAACTAAATAAACACAGAAAATGCCACAAACATTTACGGGAAACTATCGGAGTCGTTAACATTTAACGACAACGTTGACAGTCGGCGATATTCTTTTGTTCGATTTCGGCGGGTAATACAATAAATATGATGTTTGCCTTTTTCTATTCAAGCACATTAAACAAGGAAGTACGATTCTTTATACGTAATGAAGGTGATCCGTATGTAAAACGAAAAAAATAATCGTATGATGTAAGAAATATAAACTTACGTTTTTGACACAAAATTTCCATTTCATGTGGTAAACATGGATAAGAGAGAGAATGACAATATGTGACGAAATACTCAAACTTTGCAAATTGAACAGTATTTTCAATTTCATATCATTTGGCGTGTGACAAACTATTCACTGTTTATTTTAGTTATTACGAAAACTGATTTCGTTGAATATATTTCTAAAAATAAAATGAATTTCTATTTTTATATGTTCTATTTCTATTTTATTATTATTAATGGCTTTACATGCACTAAGAGATAAATATTATGATAGCAAAATAATAAAATACATTATTTACCAGTTACCAGCGTTGAATAGTATACATACAGTATGTCCCCGGATTGTCTTTACAAGAGGAAAAACTTTTTTATTATTCACATTTTGAGAAAAATGCATTCTTTATAAAAAAAAATTGCTTGTTCTAAAGTAGTTAATCCCGTTTATACTTTTCCAAATTTCCATGCCGTTTAAAATATAGTAGAATGTTTTTCTAAAAAAGTCCTAAAAATTAAAACGCGTTTCTATGGTAATATAATTTCATTTTCATTCTTTGATAGATTGTTATTGATAGAATTTTAATTAAAGTCATATGTTTTGCTGTTTTAAGATATAACAGCTATACTTCTATGCTACTGAAAGTGTGATAATAATTATTGGAAAATATACTTTAACACCAAAAAATATGACGTTAATCAATGTTAATAATTACCATCTATCAAACAATGAAATCAAAACTATATTACCATAGAAACACCTTTTGAAAAATTCAACTATATTTTCATGTTTTCTTTATAGTACGAGAGCTAGCAACGTCGCGGAAAAAAACAAGTATTTTATGACGTCTGGATTTTTGATATATCTTTTACTATACTCTCTAGAACAGCATGCGGCCCGTCTGGCTGTCGGTAAACGTTGGGTTTCCTACTGCGCATTGAAAGAAGATCCTATATTTTTATTAGTCCTTTAAATTCTAGTATTGAATATAAATCGAACATGTCTCCATAGCGCAGTGCGTAGAGTTTCCGGCCACGAACCGAGGATTCAGAGTTCGAATCCGGGTCAGGACAAAGACTTTTATTTTATTTTCGTTTATATTCTTATAGTAAAGAATTAAATATTTGTTTTTTTTTTGGAATCGCCAGAATTATTTAATACTTTACTATCAGAATATAAACGAAAATAAAATAAAAAAGTCTTTGCCCTGACAGGGATTCGAACTCTGAATCATCGGTTTGTAGTCGGAAACTCTACGCACTGCGCTATGGAGACATGTTCGATTTATATTCAATATTAGAATTTATAGGACTAAATTTAAAAAAAATATAGGATCTTCTTCCGATGCGCAGTAGTGAACGCAACGGGTATCGGCAACCAGACGGACCGCATGCTATTCCAGAGAGCATAGTAAAAGATATATCAAAGAGCCAGACGTCTTAAGATACTTTCTCGAAAACGATGCTAGCTCTTAGACTATTAGTTTTCTTTAAAACGGTATGGAAATTTGCGATAGTATAAACAGGATTAACCATTTGTGAACAAGGAAAATCTTTTATAAAGAATATATTTTTCTCAAAATGTCAATAATAAATAAGTTTTTCCTCTTGTTAAGGTAATTCGGGGACATACTCAACATACTGTATATGAACACAATAAATACTGATATATTATTATCTCTATTTTATT